CACATGACCACATCGAGTCACATCGAGTCACATGACCACATCGAGTCACATGACCACATCGAGTCACATCGAGTCACATGACCACATCGAGTCACATGACCACATCGAGTCACATCGAGTCACATGACCACATCGAGTCACATGACCACATCGAGTCACATCGAGTCACATGACCACATCGAGTCACATCAAGTCACATCACTGAGTCACATCAAGTCACATCACTGAGTCACATCAAGTCACATGACCACATTGAGTCACATCAAGTCACATGACCACATTGAGTCACATCAAGTCACATCACTGAGTCACATCAAGTCACATGACCACATTGAGTCACATCAAGTCACATCACTGAGTCACATCAAGTCACATGACCACATCGAGTCACATCAAGTCACATGACCACATCGAGTCACATCAAGTCACATGACCACATTGAGTCACATGACCACATTGAGTCACATTGAGTCACATGACCACATTGAGTCACATCAAGTCACATGACCACATTGAGTCACATCAAGTCACATGACCACATTGAGTCACATCAAGTCACATGACCACATCAAGTCACATCGAGTCAGATGACTGTTCTGTTTTCCACAGAACCAATGGGACCAACAAACGGACCAATCAGCAGGCAGGTTCCTCAGGTGAGCCCCACAGTTCCAGGTGTGTCACAGTTAAATCGTTACTTGTCCAATCAGAAGCTGCTCCTCAGGTCACATGACCTCCTGTAACTATGATTGGCTGGAGTGAAGTCACTTCCTGCTGAGCAGCTCCCTGATTGGTCCGTCTCTTTGTGTGACCTAGGTACCTGTGTGGACCCCCATCTCAGACAGATCTACACAGACCCCTCCCTCACCCTGACTCCGCCCTTTAACCCCACCGTGAAGGAATACCACGCTGAGGTGACTTTTGACACACTCACAGTTCGGATCCGACCAGAACCCGTCAGCCCCGCCTGCACGGTTCACATGGAAGAGTACCTGGGGCCCAGGTGAGCCCAGGACCGCCCCCTCCCACCTGACCTGTGACCTCACATGACTTGACGAGTCCTTCCCTCCTCAGGATGGTGACCCTGCCGCTCGGACTCGGTACCAGCCGGATCAGCATCCTGGTGACGGACGCCACCGCACCCACACCGGTTGTCATGACGATCTACACCGTTCACGTGTCCCGCGAGAGCCGACCCAGTCTGCCCATGTTTGGAGAACACGTCATGTGCAGCTTCCTGCAGGTGGGTCAGCTGACAGGAAACCAGGTGGAGTCCGTGTCAGGTGGGCCCTCAGAGACCGGCTCCAGTCCAGGTTTAGTTTAACCAATGAGACTCCAACAAGGTCATCAGTGGTGGGCAGCGCTAACTYAAAAATTAGCYCCGMAGTTTCTAAAGCACTTATGAAAATATTTAGGTCCGCAACTTCAAAAGTGCTTATGTCATAGAAAAACTAGCAGAAGCTAATTTTAAAGCACAAGTTCAGTTTGACACTTACTGACAACAATTCATGTACAATATATACACAACACTGCCAACTAGTGGTGTATGAACCTTTTTACAACTTATTACTACAACCACTGATTGCTGGGGATGTGATTTCCTGAAACAGACCTTTAGCTCCTGGTGTAAAAATTAAAAAGTTGTTGAGGATTGCTAGTT